CCCCCCGGGTGGGGCCAATTTTGACACTAGGGACAAAATTTGTACAACTTTGGTATTGGACCTTCAGATGATACCATAGACCAAATATCAAAGCTCTAGGGCATTTACTTTCAGACCAGAAGATTTTTCAAGTTTTCACTATATGTATGTAATGAAAATCAATGACCCCCGGGGCGGGGCCAATTTTGACCCTAGGGCCATTATTTGAACAATCTTGATAAAGTTCTACTACACAATCTTTCATGCCAAATATGTAATCTGTAGCCTTTGCCAAATCATAGAAGAAGATTGTTTTAGATTTTACTATATACATATAAGGAAAAACCTATGACCCACCGGGGCGGGGCCAATTTTCACACTAGGGACAAAATTTGAACAGTTTTGGTAGAGGACCCATAGATGATACCATATACCAAAAATCAAAGCTCTGGCCCATGTACTTTCAGACAAGAAGATTTTTTAATTTTGTGTTTTTTGAAATCCTTTTCTGGCCCTATGACCTACATATGCAACAGACCGGAACCCTTTGAACAACTTTGAAAGGGGACCACCCAAGGATCATTTCTGTAAAGTTTGGTTGATGTGCAGTCATTGGTTTCAGAGGAGATGTTGTTAATGTTCAAAAGTTGACGACGCACGACGACGGACACAGGGCCATCACAATAGCTCAGGTGAGCTAAAAAAATTATGCAGGATAGAGTTATCATTCTTGTGTGCTGCTCCCCTCCTGAATATGATCTATCCACCTATGAAGTTTCAAGTTGACACCTCTAACGCTTTTTGAGATAAGCTCCGGACAAAAAGTATGAAAAATTACAAAGGGCAATAACTCAAAAATTATCAACGGTAGAGTTATCATTATTGTGCACAGCATTCTTCCTTAATAAGATCTATCCACCTATGAAGTTTCATATTGACATCTCAAAGACTTTTTGAGTAATGCTCCACTCAGGTGAAAAATTAAGTATGAAAAATAACAAAGGGCAATAACTCAAAAATTATGAAGGGTAGAGTTATCACTCTTGTGCACTGCATACCTCCTGAGTGAGATCTATCCACCCATGAAGTTTCATGTTGATATCTCAAAGGGCTTTTAAGTTATGCTCTGGACAAAAATTAAGTTTGAAAAATAACAAAGGGCAATAACTCAAAAATTATGCAGAGTGAAGTTATCATTCTTGTGCAATGCACTCCTTCTCAATATGATCTATCCACTTATGAAGTTTCAAGTTGATACCTTAAATATTTTTTGAGTCATGATCCGGACAAAAATGTCGGACGGATGGACGGACGGACGGAGACTATTTCTAAATCCCCACCGCCTTTCGGCGGGGGATAATAAAAGCTCATCAATAAAGCACAGAAACGGAAAGGTGAATAAGTGGTAAATGTGCTTGCCTTTATACCTAGGTATTGCGGATTCGAAACCGCCTGAGGTCACGACCATGTATCCACATATGTCACTAGTAACTGTAAGTTCTATGAAGCGGCCACGAGAGCGGGTTTTATAAAGATATTCTAGTACTATGCTCAAATTTGATGATATATATAATATGGGTAATTGCTACACTCTTTGTAAGTATAAAATTAACATGTTTTTTACACAAAGTATATTTGTGATGCTTAACATTCTACATGCTATAGGTGGTCACAATATGAATGTATAGTATCATTAAAGAACTACTGGTTTTTCTATTAAACAGCAAAATGCATGAACATTGCAGACTCGGTTTGATTGAGTCTGTGCATGAGGGATAAGAAAAAGTGCAGCAACCCTCACGTCTCCCTAGTACCGGCTTGAGCAATACTCAATTTTCAACACTTTAAAGTGGTGTAATCAACGATCCCGAAGAAAAATATAACAACACTGAAGTGAAGTACGAAACAACTTTTTACAGCTGCCACGCAATACTGGTCTCCGGCTGATCTGATGTATAAATATCTGAAAAAAAAAGTGATCCCTTGGAAGCATTAAAAAACAAAATTACATGAAAATTGCAGACGGTTTGATTGAATCTGTCGGATAATAAAAAAATGCAGCATCCCTCACGTCCCCTAGCACAATAGTACTCAATTCTCAACATTCAAAAGTTCTTTACCAACTTCACTTGACCTATAATAGAGATAACAGCTTCCAATACATCAATTTATTTATTCTTTTATTCAAATTAGAGATACATTTAGTGTATTCACTAAAATTTCATAGATTTCAATAAATTTCTGTGATTAAAATATTTAACTCAAGGATGGGCACAGTATGCCTTTAATAAAATATTAACTTTCTCAACACTCGAGCTTAAATATATAATGATATAAACTATAAGATATGAAAGGAAAGTAAAAGGGAGAGCGACTTCACTAATAAATCACGTCTGTATCCTGGCCAGTGATTCCCGTATCAGACATTCCTTTATACTAGTTTTGTATGTGATATGTTTCCACCATAGTTTGAATGAGTACACGCACTGCATGTTTGTTTTCAATTATTTATCAACAATCCTCATAGTTCAGTTTTAGTGTCGAGTGTTTGCTTGAAAAAACGAACTTCAGGAAATTATAGTTATATCAAATACTTAAAAACATGTAGTTCATTCTCAATGATACTTTAACATTGCTAACTCTGCGGTTAGCCAGAGTTTCTTACCATTCACGGTATACATGTTATCCAGGAAAATCTGCTGGATGGGCCGACTGCAAAAAAACAAACTTTTGAAATCGGCGTATAAAACAGAAAAACACAAGATCACAAAGAGATACGAACACCAAATTTCTGATGTTGAATACTAATACCAGTAATTAAATATAGGCATCTTGCCACCAGCGGTTGCAGCAATATACTTAGTAATCAGGAGACACATACACGTAACTTCCTGTTGTTGAAGGATTAAAAAACTATTTACAATTAGTACATTACCGCCATCTTATAAAAAATATTTATAAGAAAATAGTCCTTTCTTCTTGTCGTTTAAGGTATACAAGAGATATTTGAAGGAGGCAATCTACCTTACTGATTGGTGTGAAAGAAAAGGGAGAGGGCCGATCGCTAATGTTGTAAGAACTTCGGACAGACTTGTTTTGCTATTTATTATTTCTAAAATATGTTATTGCTGTGTATATTTATATTTATGTATAAGCAATAAAATAAAATTAAATTAAGAGTAAAGATAAACAGAGACAACGTCACCTTACTGGTTAAGAACATTTGAGCCGTGACATGACAAAACCAACATAATGGGTTTGCGACCAGCATGGATCCAGGTCAGCCTGTGCATCCGCGCAGTCTGATCAGGATCCAAGCTGTTCGCTTACCAACTCTATTACAAGTAGAGAAACTGATAGCGAACAGCATGGATCCTGATCAGACTGCGCGGATGTGCAGGCTGGTCTGGATCCATGCTGGTCGCAAACGCATTATGTTGGTTTTGTCCTGACGCGGCTCAATTTTATACATAGACTAGATAGTAGCACAAAATAATGTAAATGCTACAAAAGATGAAAAATATACTGAAACACAGACATCTAATTTTACTTTTTTCAGTGTTGCAGAAGATAGTCCTAAAATTATGATTTCTAGCTTTGGTTAACCTTTTATTAAGGTCCAATTTCTAAGTAACTATGAATGTTATTTACTGTTTATTGCAAACTTGATGTATTAGTAAATACATGTTCACTGTCAACATAATTATGACACCATTTAAGAATGCCTGACAAACCTAAAATTCATTTTAGAAAAGGTATGCCTCTTACCTTTTTATTTCTCTTTCAATGTCAATTTCTCAAAGTTAATCACTCTAAATTTGGAATGTTCTTTTTTTCAGTTTTGAAATTGGAATGCATTTCTAAAGGGCAGGTAATTTTCTATTTTTGTTTTAGTTGTATTCCTTACGTAAGCCTAAAAGTATCGAATGAAATACGATAAATCATTTAATTTGACCCATAAAATATGGTGCTATATCAGTCAAATATATTTCATAGTTTTTAAAAATAAATATGAAATATAAATATGAAAGTGGGCGGAGTCGAAACTAATATTTATATTAAGGGACTTCTTTCGCCATTTTGTTTGAAAAATCTGAGAAATACAAAAACAAATTTCAACAAAAAGTTGTTTTGAAAACTATCTAGAATGATAGAAAATGGTCTGACTAAGAAAATAAATCCGAACACCAATATCTTTCAGTTATTAAGATAATGAAATTAAATAAAAAGGTTATTTTTTCGTTTTTCGTGAAATATGGTATATATTTTCACTCAACATGATAAAATGCCACATATTTTCACTCGCCGTCCCGGCTCGTGAAAATATGTGGCATTATATCAAGTTTCGTGAAAATATATTCCATACTTTACTCAAATGAAAAAATATTCTCTTAATATTGAAGAGGCGTTACAACGCGAACCAAAAGGCGTAATATAACCCGAACTATCAAGCGGTATGACGTAGAACAAAAGGCGATATAACGTCTATTTAATACCATATTAATGCTAATCAAATGGCCTAGTAACGTATGAAAGGAATTACAATATTTACATTTCAAAAAGGTATTCACTTTAGACTTGAATACTTGTTCACTTTCAAATCTGAAATGTATTTATAGAGTATTTGCCTTTTCCTAGAAAACCGTAGAAGGTATTCAGCATGAAATTGAAATAGGTGTTGGCTTTCAAGGGCAGGTAGGTCTGATAAACAAATTTGCAGAGGCATGCCTCCTTTTTCTGTGTTGCCTGTGTTGCTTTAATTTTTCTATCCAGCACTGAGAAAGGTGGAGCGTGCTGTCCGCGGATAGCTCTTGTTTTGTTAGTTGAAATCATATGACTTTGAGAACCATTATATCCACAAATTGAGGGGTGAAGAAAAACGAATACCTCATTTATGCTTCAATGCGTTTACTCAACTGTATCTATAAATGGACAAGTTTTGATGTGTTTAAATTTCATTGGCTTTCAATGCCACGCTTCCTTCAATTTTACAGTGAAACTATTATTTAAAACAGGTATTGTGTACCAAGTCAAACAGAGGGGGCAACAAGAGCAACAGAGCTACATGATACTTTCGTCATTATGATAGTTATTTTAACATTTTGGAAAATGGAACCTACATTATCATTTAAAATGCATTACAGAGTACAGTGAACGAAGACTAAAAGAGTAAGATTATTTTTGTTTCTTTAACATGCTATATTTATTCACATCATTCTAGCTTTATAAGTCGCTTTTTAAAACATTTTTTCTTTCATCTGATGCGGCATTACCCTTCCCGTCACAGTATAAAATGATGAAGATCTTAAGCTACATTTCCTAGTATTGTTTTTACCTATTGTCTCATGAGACGCTCATAAAATATAAGAGCCGCGTCACGACAAAACCAACATAGTGTGTTTGCGACCAGCATAGATCCAGACCAGCCTGCGCATCCGCGCAGTCTGATCAGGATCCATGCTGTTCGCTTACCAACTCTATTACGAGTAGAGAAACTGATAGCGAACAACATGGATCCTGATCAGACTGCGCGGATGCGCAGGCTGGTCTGGATCCATGCTGGTCGCAAACCTATTATGTTGGTTTTGTCATGACGTGGCTCATGCGCGCTTTAATGCCTGCTAAAAGATAAACACGTCTAGGATTTGCGTATGATGATAGGCGTTCATTATCTAAGTTCAACTTTCGTATAAAATATTCTATTACTTACTTTGAATTTTGATTTAAACACAATTCTATTGAAAAAATTAAATATTTATACCTTGTTTTTAGATACAACTCGCTTATTTTTCCCGTTTAATAAAAGTTATTTTCGTTTCTTTCGTTTATGATAGCGTATTCTTGTATATCACTAGAAGTTACCTCTTTAAAAGATTTATTTACATTTTATACAATTGAAAAATGAAAATTTTGTTTTAAGATCTATTGTGTTTGATCATATAATGTTGAAAGGTTAGTTATAATCATATTTAAAGTTGAAAATCAGCTGGTTTAAAGATTTGATTAAAATACATGTATAGGAAAAAAACGATCTTTAATGAAAATTACACAATTATACGACATAAATTTCATTTAAGTTTATATGATAAATATCGATACATGTATTTATTACTGGCGCATGATTGTCGTCCACAAAGTAAGTTCCTTTCCATTATAAAATTGATAAGCTAGAAACGCCTGTAATCATGCGCAAATCGTCGACGTGTTTATCTTTTAACAGGCATTAAAGCGCGCATATTTTATATCTTATTTTATATTTTATGAGTGTCTCTTAAAGCAGCACGGCCCCAGATGAGCCAAAATATATCAAGAAAAACAATATTGAGAAAAATATACTAAAATTTTAAAAAGGTAAAAACATTCATGATCCAAGTTATATTTTACATGTTACGTGCGGTTTATTTAAACGGAAAACATAAGTGTTATATCTAAAAACAAGGTAGAAATGTTTAATTTTTTCAATAGAATCGTGTTTAAGGTAGAACGCGACACTTTGCGAACTATCGAGTAGCGTCTTGAAAATTGGCATGCAGAAAGTTGACCATATTTCAGATTTGATTCCGTCGATTTTATTCCGATAGTTTCAGCCAATTTTTGTACACATGACGTCAAAGTTGACCATCAAAGCCCGTTTTTGAACATGACGTCGTTGCGTATCCTTGGCAACTTTTATGGATATCACAACGCCGGACAAAATATCTTAATTCCTACAGCATCCAACGAAAATTGTTTTTTCCTTTAAGCTGATATAGAATTTATCGTTTTACGCCGAAAAATATTTGAAAAATGGAAAGAAAACTGTCAATTTTGTGTAAAATTTGATGTTCAGTTTGGCCGCAATTTTCGGCTTGAAAGCGGCTTATTTAAAAATTCCTGAAATAAATTTTCGATTTTTATTCTTTTAAAGTTCTTTAAAATATATACTTAGTCGAAATGACTAAAAAAATAAGGGGTCACCGACCCAATTTTTTCGGTAAACGTGATTTTATTTCCACCACCCCTTTGGATAAAAGTCAGGCTATCACGGGGCGTTTGTTATTTTATTTGTCATTAAAAGGTCGCCCTGTGTCAAAATCCTGCTATAACTCTTTTATTCTTGTAAATACGGATATTGTATATAAAACAGAGAATAAAGATGAAAGTTAGAATAACCCACTTTCTACAAGAAGAAAGAAATTATAGTCTGATCTGCCATTTGTCTAAGTAACATTAAATAGTAAAACTTTAAGTTAAATGTAATATTATCCGGTGTTACTAACATGTCAATTGCATACTGAAGAAATGGTCAGTGAACAGAATATATAAAACATCGACAGATCCTCGACAGTGTCCGTAGCATGTACAGACAAAAAAAATAACAATAAATATTGAAATATCTTTATACGAGGGTTGTCCCAATATTCTGTGACAAGATTGTTTAAAAGCTATTTAAAATAGATACGAATTTGATATTTTAATATGTTATATCATAAAAATATATTCAAACCAAAACTTAAAGTAAGTGATGTTTGTAAATTAAGATTTAAAGTTATAATAACCTCAAATCCTTACTAAGCCCCGCCATTTAATTTCAGTTATATTCAATCTGATAAGCAAATAACTACATGTGTATAAGTAATAAAAGAACAATATAGGTAATAAAAGAACAAAAAAGGCTCTCCTGTATATTTCAAATTTATAGAAAGGATATTACAAGTATTAAGATATCCCCATAGTTTGCTTGTACATGAATGTTATTATGTACAAAACAGTAACACGTAGTAAAATATGTAATGAAAGAGGCTTTATTGCTGTTTTAAAAAAAGTTTTATATTAATTTCCTTGCAGAATGTCTCAACGATCCGACTACAGGGAAAACCTATCCATGGTGTTATCGGAGGTTTTAGATGACATCGGTGTCAATCAAAGCAGGATAATGAGAAGGAGGAAAGTAATCAAGATTATGGAGGATTTGAATACTGTTACGTTTAAGTCAATTGGAATCGGTAAAACTATAGTTGAATATAATCTAGGGAGTAGGAGTGAAGGTACAACTACTAGAGGACTTGGATCAGACATTGATATACTAGGGTGTAATCGTTATAACAATATAATACAAGACCTGACAGAGTGGGAACCTAAGAGGTTTAACTATCTAATGATACAGGATGAGAACACAACCCCCGGATATTGTTTTCTACAACTACTACGAGCTGATATGCCTTACTATGCATCTTCAATACCTGGTCAGTACCATATAACTGATAGGAAAGGAAGAATATTATTTGAGAACACACAAAAAACCACCCAAGATTGCGAACAGCATGGACCATCCATTGCTAGAAAAGGACACCATGGATGGACAGATAAAGACATGGTGTTAGCCTTTCCCTGTAAGTCATGGCCTAAATCAGCAACAGGTTGGTTAGAGAGACAGGGCATAGGAAGATGGCCAACACAAGAGGTTAAAAGAAATGCAGCTAGTACTGAGTGTTTCGTTGTTCCAACTGGAAGTAAGGTCAGTAAATATCCGAAACTAGAATGGAGAATATCTACATCACTGGCAGAGAGATGTTTGATGTCCAGTCTAAATATAACACAAATAAGATGTTTTGTGTTATTGAAAATGATTCTTAAATCCTTCCTTAATCCTCAAGGGGAAATAAATTTATCAAGTTTCATGTGTAAGACAGTTCTATTACATTGTATAGAAAACACAGAACGAAGCATATGGAAAGAGAACAACTTATTAACATGTTTAATATACTGTTTACTTCAATTACACAGTTGTGTACAGAATGGCCATTTGTCACATTTCATAATATCTGAAAACAATTTGATGGCAGGACAATTTACAGATAAAGTAAAAGATGAACTTTTAGAAAAAATAAGTGACTTTATACAGAACGACATATATAAAATACTTACAATTGATATAGATGATCTTGGAGCTAGACTAAAAGTAAAACTAAATTTTACTCCTCATAAAATATACAATTTTCAGTCCTCTTTACAGTTATTTCAAATGTGGTATTGTGAGGATTTTATTAATGTTACATACAGAATAAGTTCTCGTCTAAATATAATATTTAGATCATTACGTAATAAAGATATTGGAACCTTGGAGCAATATGTAGTAAGACTAAAGACCTGCAGCGTAAATGTCTCATTCGAGTTCCTTGCACCTTTTATCTTTACCACATATGGATCTGTCCTAGCATCATCCAGTATTGGTGAAAATATTCGAGTGCCTCCAAATGCAATGGTTTGGCTATCAGATGGTTCCGATTCGGATGTCACATCCAGCAGACTTAAACTGGCTTCTGTGCTCTGTAGATCAGGAGAAAATGAGCAAGCAAACCTTATTCTGAGATTCGCCGAAAAACAATATCACTCTTGTCCTGTTTTCGTTGTCTGTATATGTAGGAAAAATCCCCAACCATTAATATATCCAGAATGTGCAAGGGTATTCTATGAACTAGGTGAAGACTGTATCAAACATATGACAGCATTTTGTGTCAAATTCATACAGCAGGAGATTAACTGCGTTCCTCATGAACTTCAATATGAAATGTTCAGATCTACACAAGATGGCATACGCAAAGACCCGGATTATGACTTTTGGATGGACTGGGCTGTAGTTGATTCTCTTCCTTTCATTTACTTCCTACAATACAAGACCTACAGTCGACTTGGTAGGCACGAGGAAAAACAGCAAGCACTGGATAACCTTAGTACAACCATTGAGAAAGTCAAAAGTCTTGGGCACAAAGAAACAGCTCTTAACCTACTTGGACAATGTCAGGAACAAGAAGAGAGACATCAGGAAGCATTGGAATGTTACATTCGTTCTCTTCAAGTCAGAGCAAGAAATAATGTAGCAGTTATCCATATTTGTAAGCTTCTCTCACGCTTACTGAATCAGAAAACTGTTTGAAGTTTTACGGTAAATAAAAGAAAAGATCATCTTTATGTTTGATTAAATGTGGTCATGACAAAAGCAACACATACAATGCGTCCTCCATTACCTGCCAAAGCTTTAACATAATTGAATGATAAACGTTATTGAAAGTCACTTCGTTTTTTCTTATACGAGAGATGGATAAACTTATTAGATATATTTGGCACAAAGAAACAGATCTTTTAAGTAGGCGGGAGTCACTTTGTTTTTCACTTCAAGAACTATTGTTAATAATTGATATTTTGCTTTTGATTTTGAGAAAAAGATTTCAGGCAATACATAATCACATGGTATATAAATTATTTTATATTCCATAACAGTACATGTATACTCTGATATACCCACAAAGCATCCGTGTAATATTATACTCAAACATAAAAAATAAACCGTGTTTAGGGTTTTGAATAATTTTGTCAGAGTTTTCCATTTACCCACAAAAAGGCGTAGTTCTTTTTAGGAGACGTGTTTATTGAAAAAAACAAAACAAACAAAACATTGGTAGGGTCAAATTTAAAAAGACGCCTACGTGATCGAGGGGTTAGAGTCGATGACTACTAACCCAGTTACCTCTCTGGCGTGGGTCCGATCCCCGGGAGATGCTTTGGTAGGGGATGGGTGTGGTAGGCCGGCAGGAAGGTAGTTCTAGAATGGTGAAAACATCATCCATGAACGCATTTAGTGAAACTACCCGCTTACAATCGAACTTCTAGCAAATCGGGTGCCCAAAGCATTTCTGTTAGGTGTTAGGTAACGTTTATGTGATCGAATAGTGGGCTGATACATACTACCAATTGTTGATATACAATATCCGGATATCACATCTTTTACAATTTTATGTACATATTTGCAATCGTGTAATTTTTTGTTTATGTGTTTTTTACATAAAACATGATGAATGATCTTTAATTTGGAGACTGTTGTCAAGTTTGATTATCATTTCTTAACATATCATGAGTTTATTATAATCGTAGGATTAACGAGTGACTGTGTATGAATAAATGGAAAACATCTATCACCGTTAATACAATATATATATATTTGTAATTTTTGTGTGTATGAAAAAAGATTTTCAAATTTTTGATATATATAGCTCTACAAGTATCTTTTCTTTATTTTTTAAAGATCTAATAATTATTTTTTCATTTTCTTTGTCATTAGTTAATCAGAAGGCCGTACTGAACAAATACCGAAATACATGTTCTCTTTTGCACAATTTTTGTACGTTACCTTCTCTCAATAAAGATTTTATATCACTATGGCCTCTTTTTAAACGTTTATGACCTTTATGACTATAGCCTCTATTAGGTATGCAAAATAGAAACATCTAGTTTCTTTTGCGTTTGATTAGGCCTATACAAATATAACTTTTAAAAAAAAAGATCATTCAATATGCCTTACATTGAATACCAAATACAATATTGGACATATTGTTAAAATATTGTACAAAAGGAAGACATTAATCCTGTGGTTCTTGGTTTACGTATGATGGTAATTTCAACTGATAACCAATTAAAAAGATAATTTGTTATCATAGACAGACCTGCTCAGATTGAATCAAATAAAAAAGAATGATGTCATTTTGTGTCTGTCTGTTCTAACCAAAAGAATTTGTTCTTGTCGAATGGCAAATCCAGGAATTAATACTGGGAATTTTATTTCTTAAATAAAAATTAAGTCACACTAATAAAATAATTCTTAGTTTAGACTAAGTTGAACATAATCTTAGGTAATTGTTTCATCTTAAATAATGTGTGATTTCTGAAAAACTGAAAAGATAAGACAGTAAATCCCCTTCACTTCTTACTTAAAGCCATGATCTTGATGTTGTGCCATACATATTAAAGACCATAGTCTACATGATTTTAGCAATTTATTGTCAGCGTTTTAAAAATTTCTAAGTACAGTTATGGAAAACATATACTTTGTTGGTGTACAGGTTCTGCAAATCGTGCTATTTCGGTGTCATTTTTATATGTATATTTTACAATTATCATAAAATCCATTCAGCCCTGTTAAGGTTTATTGGCAGCAGACACACAAATGTAACTTTAACAACTTACTTTTTAGACCTTGACTGATAGCAACCAATTTGGGATGATGAACTGATATGTCTTAATGTTACACTTTGTGGTGTTTTTATGAATGTTCTTATGATTACAAACTGATGTTGCATATTCTTTTCGTTCTCTCTATTGTTCTTCTTATTCACATACAGCACAAAAGCCACATCAAAGTCTTACGGAATGAATGACATCAAAGAGAAAGTACAGTAACTCAGTAATCTTTCAGCCACATAAATATCCAAATATTACCTCATCCATACACAGTCATTACCCTTGTACTACACAGATAATAACTTGTTGGATTAGTGAACTAAGTCAATCTTCACAAATTAAACTCTTGCAAGTTTGCGCGAGAGGTATCTTGTATGCTTGTATCAGTCCTGGGAACAGATTGGTTATGGAAACTACCCGCATTGACTGAAATCTGTTGGGAAATAGCGTAAATGAAACAACAAAAACTCGTTGAAAACGACCTCAGTTATGGACACACATGATGTACGTACGTTGTGGTATTACAAGTTACAAAGAAAGATTATAATTAATAAATAAAATGCGTAACAACTATTAGTGATGAAGCACAATAAAATACACAAAAATGATTCTATATCATTATAATTAGAAGGCAACACTTCTTTTATTTGATGTGACTTTCATTCTTTGTTAATTCATCACATAATAATAAATTAAATTAAATAAATATTTCATTTCTTGCTGCAAATTAACTGAGTACTTAAGATTTTATTCATAAGTTCTGCAAAATATTACTAAAATTAAAGCTCCCCAAGACGTGGAGGATAAAAATTAAGAAAAGAGTATTCAGATATCCTAATATTTTGTGCTTGAAATAAACAGAGCAGTGTAACGCACATTCTAATTCTAATAAGAAATATTACTTTATAAAAACTGCGTACAATAATGGGACTAAAATGTAGCAAACTCATAATCTTTTAAAACACCCTGTTTTTCAACTTGACTTTCAGACATGTCAGGAAGATGTGTCCCGAATGGACTGTTTAACTTAGCCATTTCGCATTCGAATTACTATAAGTTATAACGAGTAACAATTATGATACTTGATATTTACATGGTAATAACTGAATGTGTGTGTGTAGTGGTGAGTGTGGTTAATGGTGATAGCTGTTGATGAGTATTCATTAACACTTATCTAAGGGAGATTTTTATACTAATAGTAGTTTCAGTAGGCGGGTGGGGGTGGTGAGAAAAATAGCTTTGAATTTTTGTATAGGGAAGATGTTGCTAAACAAACAACTAAACCATGAACATGGTGTTTATGGTAAATTCAGGCAACTGGTTGTTGGCAGATATTCTGTATCTAAAATTTCTTTTACGTAGTCATGAAGAAAGTTGTTATCTATGGTTTCATTATTAATTTAATATTGTTCATCTGATAGCTAATCAGGTAAGTAAATAATGGGTCGCCGGTCCAATCCCAGGGTGAGGTGTAATTTCTCTGTGTAACATTGTTGTACTAATGGTCATTTATCTATCACTGCTGATTGAGAAAAAATTATGTAGGTTAGTAGTTGGTTAATTGCAGAAAAAAAAATAGTTATTACTGGTTAGTTATCAATGAAAAGTATTAGGTTAATTAACCTAGAAAATGTGTTAAAATTGGCATAAAAAGTAGAAAATCATACTAACTAACTTGTTCAACACTTTTGTAAATGACAAATAATATAAAGTTGCCAACTTGTCATGAAAATGCCTTATAATGACTAGATTATACACTAATTTACAAATCAGGCACTTACAATATCCATGACGATAGAAATTGAGCCACGTCAAAACGATTACATAATATTATTATCTATACAAAACTCTAAACGTTTGGCCACTTAATCTTAAACGCCTCTTCAATTTCCAATCATTAAGGGTAAAAGCTCTATAATAGCATAATGAAGTGAAAGATAGGTTATATAGTACAACTTATTTAGCAGTTCATTTAATATCTCAATAAATATAAAAAAAAATCTTAGCAAAATGTTTGAAAACTCAAACAATAAAAAAATTCTGCCATTTTTAAATCATTTTTCACATGAAAGATCATAGTGAAATTGTTGAGTGTACGGAAATATATTTTGATAATATAGATATTTTTTACAGATCAAAATGTGTAATAATCTATTAAATAAATATTATTACAAGTGCATCAAAAGTATAAAGAAAAATTACAACGTCATTCTGAAAAACTCAAAAAGAATTTTTTTGTAATAAGAAAATTTTAATAAATAATAAAATCTTAACAGATCTGCATGTCCTGAAATATCCATAAAACTTGTATAAATAGCTGCAGTCATATTTTGGCAGAGGATTTTGAAATTTAATGTATGACAAACCCTGTGTTTTGATAAATGAGCCGCGTCATGACAAAACCAACATAATGGGTTTGCGACCAACATGGAATACGCACCAATGCGCATCCGCTACAAGAATCTAGTACAAAGAGAACTGATAGCCAACAAGCATGGATCTGTGTGTGGATGCGCGGTCGGCAGTTTGGTTTCTGGATCCATGCTGTCGCAACATTCATTGGTTTTGTCAGAGCGCGTTCAATGTTAGTAATTTTCTATACTTAATATATCTTATCTCATGACAAAAACCTTCAATCACATAACTGAACTGCCTTCTTCCATTTGCAATTACTTATTGAAACTAACATGTAACTATACGACAAGAAATAATGTACAAGGTATCGCATAATTGCTGTACATTTAAAATATTAAAAGAATTCAGATTTTGTGTCGATTATCATATATATATAAAACAAGACTTCCTAATAATTACCATATTATATGGGAAAAAAGAAAATTAAATTATACATCATTTAATAATTGAACCTGATTCACGCCAATATCTCATCATTATATTTAACTCTATTATATTTTATTCTAAAAAAAAAATCAATTCCTTTCAGCAATTATTTTCATGTCTTATTATGAACAGAACAGAAAATGTAATTATGTTTTTTTATAACATTCACGCTATTGATTTTATTCAAAAAGAAAAAATTATGTCCAGAAGAAATGAATAAAAACACAAAAAAAAACACACTTGATATTATTTCTAATAGCACACCGACCATATGTAATTAATAGGAGCGTGGATCTATGTCTTTGATAAATTAGAGGTTTAATACTGTATTGATTATATCAAGAATTGTTTCAAATAAGATAAATATATTGTACTTATTTTTCTATTTTTATTCTAAATTGTTATAAGTATTTTATGTTCTTTTTTCATGTGTACAAGATAATGAGTTCTGTTATTACCGTATGTTAAAATTTATATAAAAGACACTACAATTGATATTTAGTGTAAATTCTGAAATTACAGAATAGCTGAATTAAACTGAATATTAATTTTACATTTAGTCTGTCAATTATGGTGATATACATGTAACCTTGTATTTTCTATGATAGGAAACATACAGGC